ACACGTCCTGAAAGCTCGAGTTTCAAAGCTGGTGGCGGCTGGAGACACTGTGGAGCATCTGCGAGGCAGAGTGCATCGTGGATAGCACATATAGAGAGGTGGTCACACCACAGGCTCAGATTCTGCAGACAGGAAGGGAATGGGTGACCACTAGACAAAGCATGAGAAATAGGCAGGTAGTGCAGGAATCTCCTGTGGCCATTCTCCTGCAAAACAGATGTACCGTTTTGGATACTGTTGAGGGAAATGGCCTCGCAGGGGAAAGCAGCAGCAGCCAATCTTGCACCACGGTTGGTTCTGCTACAGGGTGGAGGAGTAAAAAGTATGCCAGGGCAATAATTATAGAGGACTTAATTGTAAGGAGAATAGACAGTTGTTTCTGTGGCCGCAAACAAGACTCCAGGATAGTATGTTGCCTCCCTGGTGCGAGGGTCAAGGATGTCTTGGAGTGGGTACAAGACGTTCTGAAGGAGGAGGGTGAACAGCCAGTAGTCATGGTACACGTCGGTACAAATGACATAGGTTAAAAAAAGGTATGAGGTTCTAAAGGCAGAACACAGGGAGATAGGAAGAAAGTTAAGAAATAGGACCTCAAAGGTATTGATCTCAGGATTACTATCGGTGCCACGTGCTAGTCAGAGGAGAAATGACAGAATATATCGGATGAACACGTGGCTGCAAAGATGGTGTCAGGGAGATTCCTGGGGCATTCAGACAGAAAGGGGGGAATATATAATAGGGGACAAAGAAATGGCTGAGGAACTGAATACATACTTTGGTTCTGTCTTCACAAAAGAGGATACAAATCAGATACCAGAACTGTTGGAAGATGCAAGATTTAGTGAGAGGGAAGAGCTGAGGGAGATCAATATTAGTAGAGAGATGGTGCTGGGAAAATTGTTGGGATTGAAGGCTGATAAATCCCCAGGGCCTGATAATCCACATCCCAGACTACTTAAGAAAGTAGCTCTAGAGATAGTGGATGCATTGGTGGTCATTTTGCAAGATTCTATAGACTCTGGAACAGTCCCTGCAGATTGGAAGGTAACTAATGTCACTCCAATATTCAAAAAGGGAGGCAGAGCGAAAACAGGGAATTATAGACTAGTGAGCGTAACATCGGGGAAAGCGATGTCGTAGTGGGAAAAATTCTCAAATCCATCGTCAAGGATTTTATAGCAGAGCATTTAGAAAATGGTAGGATCAAAGACAGTCAGCATGGATTTATGAAGGGGAAATCATGCTTGACAAACCTGTTGGAATTCTACGAAGATGTAACTAGTAGAGTTGACAAGGGAGAGCCAGTCGATGTAGTATACTTGGACTTCCAGAAAGTGTTTGACGAAGTCCCAAATAAGAGATTAATGTGCAAGATTAAAGCGCAAGGTTTTGGGGAAGTATATTGAGATGGATTGGAAACTGGTTGTCAGACAGGAAACAAGAAGGAGGAATTAATGGGTCCTTTTCAAATTGGCAGGCAGTAACTAGAGGGGTGCAACAGGGATCGGTGCTGGGACCCCAGCTATTCTCAATATATATTAATGATTTGGATGAGGGAACAAAATGTAACATCTCCAAGTTTGCAGATGATACCAAGTTGGGTGGGGGGAGGTGAACTGTGATGAGGATGCAGAGATCCTTCAGCATGATCTTGACAGGTTAGGTAAGTGGGCAAATCAATGGCAGATTCAGTATAATTTGGATAAATGTGAGGTTATTCACTTCAAAAGCAAAACCAAGAAGGCAGATTACTGTCTGAATGGCTGTAAATTGGGAAAGGGGAGTGTGCATTGGGACCTAGGCGACCTTGTGCACCAGTTGCTGGAAATAAGCATGCAGGTGCAGCAGGCAATAAAAAAAGCAAACAGTATGTTGGCATTCATCGCGAGAGGTTTCGAGTGCAGGAGCAGAGATGTGTTGTTGCAGTTGTACAGGGCCTTGGTGAGACCACACCTGGGATATTATTTTGGTTTTGGTTTTGGCAGTTTTGGTCTCCTTTTCTGAGGAAGGATACTCTTGCTCTCAAGGGAGTGCAGCAAAGGTTTACCAGCTGATTCCGGGGGTGGCGAGTCTGACGTTATGAGGAGGGATTGACTAGGTTGGGATTGTTTTCACTGGGGTTCAGACGAATGAGGGGGAGATCTCATACAGACTTACAAAATTCTAACAGGACTGAACAGGGTAGATGCAAGGATGTGTTCCGATGGTGGGTGTGTCCAGAACCAGGGGTCATAGTACGAGGATTTGGGGTAGACGATTTAGGACGGAGATGAGGAGACATTTCTTCACCCAACGAGTGGTGAGCCTATGGAATTCATTACCACAGGAAGTAGTTGATGCCAAAACATTGAATATATTCAAGAGGCGACTAGATATAGTACTTGGGGCAAATGGAATCAAAGGTTATGGGGAGACAGCAGGATTAGGCTATTGAGTTGGATGATCAGCCATGATCATGAAGAATGGCGGAACAGGCTTGAAGGGCCGAATGACCTCCTCTTGCTCCTATCTTCTATGTTTCTGTGGAAGTATCCCTGGCTTCCCACATATCGCACGAGGAGCATTCCACAGGGCTGAGTTCTCCTGCCATTATGATTCTTATGAACTACAAACAATAAACTAGCAACCAATTACTCAATCTTATCCACTACTCACCAAATCAAATTTCTCTCTCTCTATTCCTAACAAAGTACAAACCACAAAAATAAGGGCTTTACGCTCTGTCTCCCTCCTGGTACTACTCACTCAATCCCTAAGGCTTAAAGCTGGTTCCTAAGCAGCCATAGTAGGAACTGCAGATGCTGGAAAATCTGAGATAACAAGGTGTAGAGCTGGATGAACATAGCAGGCAGTCTAGGCCCGAAACGTCAGCCTTCCTGCTCCTATGATGCTGCTTGGCCTGCTGTGTTCATCCAGCTCTACACCTTGTTATCTCCTAAGCAGCCAATTCTCTTGCCCTTGCGTTACTTTTTGAACCCTAATGTCACCTCAGGAGGTCTGCCTCTGGATTCAAAGACGGTTCGCTTTGCTTCTTTTCCAGTGCAGCTCCGATGAAGCCTAATCTGGGCACCCCCATTCCTCAGGCTTTTATGTGGAAGCTCCACTGCCACTATTCACACTCAGAGTTGCTCCACTCTGCTCCTGTCTAGTTGCTACACTATTATGTCTAGTGCTGCTCCTGGCATGCCCTGCTGCAATCTTCATGGAGTTGATACTCAGGGCAACGACGATGGTAATTAGGTAATGAGGTGTTTGTATATAATTCTGCTGCTGATAGTCCACAGTGCCTCTTGAATGCCCAGTCTTGAGTTACGGAACCTGTATGAAATTTCTCCCTTTTTGGAATGTGGTAGGGCCACACAACATAATGGAGGGCATCCTCAATGAGAAGACAGGACTTCATTTCTATTTCATTTGTGAGGTGTTCACACTTACTGATACTGTCATGGTCTGATGCATCTGTGGCGGATAGTGAGGATGTGGCCAACTAGGTTTCTCCCTACTGCTAGTTCCCTCAACAACTACTGCAGTCCTAGTCTAGAAGCTGTAACCTTTAGGACTCAACCAGCTTGGTTCACTCAACCATGATGCTGCTGAGCTTCTCTCAGTGATGGACATTGAAATTCTCTACCCAGTATATACTCTCTGCCCTTGCTACCCTGACTGATTCATCATTTGAGGGTGGGCAGAATGTCACATGGTAATTAGTAGTATATTTCCTTGCCCATGTTTACCTTGAGGGCATGAGACCCCATGGGTTCTGTCATTGTCATCCAGAGGGAAAACAACTGTCCTTGTCTCCAGGTGAGAAGATTATGCAGGGAGACTTTGCTAAAGCATAGTACTGCGAATACAATGCCGGAATGTTTAACCCCAGAAAGTCCTTGCAATTTAAGAACACCCTGCCTATAAAATTTGAAGTTTTACACTCACATGCATACATCATAAGCTAACAAAACTATAATCTTGCAGGAAAACCCAACCCATTCCAACTGGAAGTCCCTTCTGCTCTTAGGGCCTACCAAGACACTCAGCCTCAGAAGAGAAAATTCGACCAACTGTCTCTGTTCTCAATGACCTACATTGGGTTCCAATCTGGCATCACTTCAATCTTAAAATGTTCATATTTGTTTTCAAATTTTCCCTTGGTCACATTTCTCCTCACTTCTGTAAGTTCCTACAAGCCCCTGAGCTTTCTACATTCCTCCATTTCTAGTCTCCTATGAATCTCCAATTTTTGTTTCACCCCACTGGCAGCCATGTCTTCTACTGCTTAAGCACCAATTTCTGAAATTCTTTCTCTAAACATCCTTAACCCCAACCTCCTCCTGTGGGATGGCTCATTCTGGATCTTTGACTAAGCTGTTAGTCATTTGTTTGAAAGTTCTTAATATGGTCCAATGTCAAATTTTGTATGACATGCTTTGTGATATTTTTATTACATCAAAGGCACCAAATAGATGAGTTGCCATTGTTGTCTGAGCTTGGTTATCTTACTACCACTAGTCCAGGAAATAGCTCTGGGTTATAAGCAGCATAGCGCGATTCAACTCACATCATTAGACGCATCAATAAATGCTGCAACAGGATCACCTCAGTTAAGGCACAATCCAATTTCCAGGCTCTGACTTCTAATTAATGAAGAGCTTTTGCATTTTAATATAATCTACTATTCTAGATCTTAATATGTCTATCCCATTTAAAATTTGATTATCAGATTTATCCTGTGTTGATATATAACATTTTATGAAGCAAATATGAGTTGAAAATTTAATGTACATCTAGCACTGTTATTAATCTCAGGGTCTACACTCTCAACTGGGGGAAGAAAAACAAAACCAACCTCTTTCACATCTTAAAGAACATGGTTCACATATGGACAATATTGTCAAGCTATTCAACAACAAAACATTGCTAAAGAATCCAATAATAAGTATAAAGTTAAGATTTGCTTTCATTTTTCCCCTAATTGAGAATTGCTTTACAAAACATTTATTTACCTGTGAGGAATAGCATCTCCAATAGCAGTAACCAGTTGCAGAAAAGCCCATCCACAACTTAACTCCCCTTGGTGTCCAGTTGCCTGTGTTTTGGAAAAGGTTCAATTAAATAAAGAATCCATAACATAAGAGAAAAATATTTTTGTTCAAGCTCTAACACAAAAGAACAGAACAATAAAAGTGTCACAAGTCAATATTTTGACTCCAATATACTCTTCTGTGGAATTGAAGGTGGCCCAAAATGTTCCATCCCACTTTTCTACAACATAAATCTATCATTTTTGAAGCTCCCTTCAGTTCTAAAAAGTAGTTGTATCACACTCAAAATGTCAACTCTGTTTCTCTCTCCACAATACTGCCACATTTGCTGAGTTTTTACACCTCCTGTTTCCATTTCAGATCTCCAGAACCTGCAATACTTTTAATAAAATCACTGCACTACATTTCAACTCTGATTCAAATGCTGCCAAGTTCAATCCCATGAAAGCATAAGTAAATAATTTCTGCACTGTCATTTCATTCAATTAAGTAGTCTATTTACTTAAAGAAAATCTATTGTACTTCAAAATTAATAGACATTTAACTGAGTAACAATGCACTGCTACACTCTATTTAGATTATACTACAGTTGCAAACTATTTGTAAATTATCAATCAGCTTTTCGTATATAACTTACAGTACGAATATAGGTAACACCTAGCTCAAACAGAATACCAATATTTGGAGACTGGGAATTCGACCGAACAAAGCAATCACCATCCACCAGGCTAGGAAGTATGCCAGTAACCTGAAACATTACAGAAAATTATTTTGCTGTTACAATACTATATTAATAGTTCTGTATTTCAATAAATAAATCTCCCTGTTGGCATACGGAAGAACAAAGTATAAATCGGGATATAACGGAGGCTTGTAAGGGACACTAGAATAATTATGGGTGATTTTAATCTTCATATTGCGTGAAAAAAATGAGATGGACCAGGGTAACGCTGAACATCAATATTGAGGTTGGTTGGCTCGCAGAGCTGGTTTGTTGTTCCGCAGACGTTTCATTACCGTGCTTTGCTTGGTAACGTCCTCAGTGCAGCCTCTGATCAAGCGTCGGTGTGTTTTCCCGCCTGGTTTTTAAACTCTGGGGTCCATTGCGATCGATTGCCTCACTTCCGGGTTTCCTCCGTAGTGGAATGTATACGGGGTCGAGTTCAATGTGTTTATTAATAGCATGCTTCGTGGAGTGCCATGCTTCCAGGAATTCTCGTGCTTGTCTCTGCCTAGCCTGTCCCAGGATCTTGGTGTTGTCCCAGTCGAAGTCATGGTTCTCCTTGTCCATGTGGATTGAGATGAGTGAGTATTGGTCAGGTCTTTTTGTAGCCAGTTGGTGTTCATGTACTCTTGTTGTTAGTTTCCTTCCTGTTTGTCCGATGTAGTGTTTCTCGCAGTCTCTGCAGGGGATCTTGTAGATGACATTGGTCCTGTCCATGGTGGGGAGTGGGGTCTTTAGTTCGGGTGAGCACTTGTCGTAGGGTTGATGTGGGCTTGTGTGCCACTCTGATGCCCAGCAGTCGTAGAAGTCTTGTGGTGAGTTCTGACGTGTTCCTGATGTAGGGTAGTGTGATGAGTGTGTCGGGGTGTGTAGAATCTTTCTGATGCTGTTCCCGTAGGCATCTCCTGACCCAGTTCTTTGGATATCCATTATCTTTGAACACTTGGAAGAGGTATTCCTCCTCCTCTTGGCATAGTTCTATGTTGCTGCAGTGTGTTGTTGCCCTTTTAAATAGTGTTCGCACGCAGCTTCGTTTGTGTGTGTTGGGATTGTTATTATTGAAGTTCAATACCTGGTCTGTGTGTGCGTGGCTTTTCGGTGTACTTTCGTTTCCAGTTCCCCATTTGTCTTGCGCTCTACCATGATGCCCAGGGATGGGAGTTGTTTGTTCTTCTCCTCCTCTCTGGTGAATTTCATTCCGGTGAGGGTGTTGTTTATGAGTTTGTGTGTCTCTTCTAGTTTGGTCCGTTTAATGATGACAAAGGTGTCGTCTACGTAGTGTATCCATAGTTTAGGTTGGATTTGTGGAAGGGCAGTCCTTTCCAGTCTTTGCATCACTGCTTCTGCTATGAGTCCGGAGATAGGCGATCCCATGGGTGTCCTGTTGATTTGCTTGTATGTTTGGCTGTTGAAGGTGAAGTGGGTGGGCCGGCATAGGTCCAGTAGTTTAAGCATGTTGTCCTTGGAAATGGTTTCACTGGGGTCATGTTCTTGTTCAAGTAGTGTTGTCATTGTTTCCCTTGCTAGTGGTATGTCTATTGATGTGAATAGGGCGGTGACATCAAACGATATCATGGTCTCTTTGTCCTCTATCTTTATGTCTTTGATGGAGTTGAGGAATTCTTGGGCTGAGTGGATGGAGTGGGGTGATTTGTTGACAAGGTGCTTGCGTCTTCTTTGTAGTTCTCTGGCTAATCTGTGCGATGGAGTGCCTGGTAGGGAGACTATGGGTCTGAGGGGGACTTCTGGCTTGTGCACTTTAGGGAGGCCATAGAGTCGGGGTGTGTTGGTTCCTTCGGGTTTCATTCTTAAGAAGTCTGTTTTGTTGATCTGTCCTGTTTGTTTAAGTCTTTGTAGCGTGCATAGGATTTTGTTGCCTAGTTGTGGTGTCACGTCAGTTTGTACTGGTCGATTATGTGTTCTCGCCAGCGAGCAGTGCTTGTGCTTTGGAGACCAGGTCTGTGTGTGTGGCTTTTTGGTGTACACCGAAAAGCCACACACACAGACCAGGCATTGAACTTCAATAGTAACCATCCCAACACACACAAACGAAGCTGCGTGCGAACACTATTTAAAAGGGCAACAACACACTGCAGCAACATAGAACTACACCAAGAGGAGGAGGAATACCTCTTCCAAGTGTTCAAGGATAATGGATATCCAAAGAACTAGGTCAGGAGATGCCTACGGGAACAACATCAGAAAGATTCTACACGCCCCGACACACTCATCACACTACCCTACATCAGGAACACGTCAGAACTCACCACAAGACTTCTACGACTGCTGGGCATCAGAGTGGCACACAAGCCCACATCAACCCTACGACAAGTGCTCACCCGAACTAAAGACCCACTCCCCGCCATGGACAGGACCAATGTCATCTACAAGATCCCCTGCAGAGACTGCGAGAAACACTACATCGGACAAACAGGAAGGAAACTAACAACAAGAGTATATGAACACCAACTGGCTACAAAAAGATATGACCAATACTCACTCATCTCAATCCACATGGACAAGGAGAACCATGACTTCGACTGGGACAACACCAAGATCCTGGGACAGGCTAGGCAGAGACAAGCACGAGAATTCTTGGAAGAATGGCACTCCACGAACCAAGCTATTAATAAACACATTGAACTCAACCCCATATATATTCCACTACGGAGGAAACCCGGAAGTGAGGCAATCCATCGCAATGGATCCCAGAGTTTAAAAACCAGGCGGGAAAACACACCGACGCTTCATCAGAGGCTGCACTGAGAATGTTACCAAGCACGGTAACAAAACGTCTGCGGAACAACAAACCAGCTCTATGTGCCAACCAACTTCAACACCCACAACCAGAGCTACAGATCTACTCCAAAACCTTAGTGAACATCAATATGTAGAGTGCAGCAGAAATTGTTTCATAGAATAATATGTTATGGAACCTAAGGAGAAGGTCGGTAGTCAGCAGTGTAAGGTCTATGCAGATTATTTCATAACACTCAGGAAAAATTATTCTGTTCAAAACAAAAAGGAATTGATGAGAAGAGTGAACAACCTGTGGTTAACACAGACTGTGATGGAGAGCATCTAATCAAAAACTAAGACATGCATAGTGGTAAACTGGAGACAGGTCAGAGGATTGCAATTTTTTTTAAATGAACCAGCAGCAGATGATTTAAAAATTAATAAAGAGGGAGAAAATTGATTCCGAAAGAAAGTGGCAAAAATGTAAAGGCAAGCAGCAATAGCTTCTATGGGTAAATAAAACAGTAGCAAAATTAAGTGGGGGACCATTGGAGGATGTAACCAGGCAATTAATAACAGAGAATAGGGAAATGGCAGACAATTAATATTTTATATCGATCTTCATGGTGGAGGACACTATAAACATCACAAAGAGAACAGAGTAGCAATGTGCTAGTGGGAGGAAAGATCAACTATGAGGAACAAAGTACTTGAAAAAGTAATGGGACTGAAAGCAGACATGTTGTCAGGACCCAGTGGCCTCTATCCAAGGGTCCTGCACACACTTTCTCTCTCTCTCTCCCACGTGCATGCACGCGCACACACACAAACACACACAGACTCTCAATCTCTCTCTCCCCCTACACACACTCTCTCTCTCCCCCTCATATACTCACACACACACTCACTCTCTCTCTATCCCCCCCATCACACACACACACACACACACTCTCTATCCCCCCCCACCCTCTCTCTCTCTCACACACACACACACACACTCATTCTCTCTATTCCCCCCTCCCTTTCACATAGATACTCACTCTCTCTATCCGCACCCCCTCTCTCTCTCTCTCACACAGACACACACACACAGACACACATACACACATACAGACACGTACATTCTATTTTGTTCAGAAAGCACACAATTTACAGACAGTCAATTAATGTGGCATTTTATAAATTCCTACTTTAGAAATCAAACCAGTCTGACTCCAAACCAAAACACAAACAGATTCTAAACAAGGCCTCACACCTAACATGCATTGCCTGACCTAAAATGTCACCTCTTCCTGACACTGTATAAAACCTTTAGTTCTCTCAGGACAGTGACTTGAAAGGAATTTGGGGATTTACACATACAATTAATCAATTAAAACGTTCTAACTGATTGAAGATTTAACAGCATCTTAGGTTTTTCAATTCATCCTCATCAGTGGTATGACCCTTTGATCTTTTACTTATAAATTCTGTGTCTGATACTACCTCTCTGAAGAAGAAGTGAAGCTCCGAAAGCTTGTGATTTCAAATAAACCTGTTGGACTATAACCTGATGTCGTGTGATTTCTGACCTTGTCCACCCCAGTCTAACACCAGAACCTCCACAACACACAAATTTCAGGCAGTGACCATCTCCAATAAGAGACAATCTAACCACTTCCCTTTGACATCGCTGAATCACCTGCCATCAATATCCTGGGCGTCACTATTGACCAGAAACACAATTGGACTCACCATATAAATACAGTGGCTACAAGGGCAGGTCAGAAGCTAAGAATACTGCAGTGATTAACTCGCCTCCTGATTCTACAAAGCCCCTCCAACATCTACAACACACAAGTCAGGAGTGTGATGGAATATCCCCCACTTACCTAGATCATTTCAATTCCAACCACACTCAAGAAACTCGACATCATCCACGACAAAACAGCTCACTTGATTGGCACCACATCCACAAGCATTTACTCCTTCCACCATCATCGCTCAGTAGGAGCAGTGTGTATCATCTACTGCAGAAATTCACCAAAGTTCCTTCAACAGCACCTGCCAAACCCATGATCAAGGGCAGCAGATACATGGAAACACCACCACCTGCAAGTTCCCCACCAAGCCACTTATCATCCTGACCTGAAAAATTTATTGTCGTTCCTTCACTGTCACTGGGTCAAAATCCTTAAGGACACTGTGGGTCTACCTACAGCACATGGGCTGCAGTAGTTCAAGAAGGCAGCTCACAACGACCTTCTCAAGGCCAACTAGGAACTAGCAATAAATGCTAGCCAGCC